GAGTGATTGTTGTACCAGCTCGGGAGAAGCAGGAGGCTGTTGCGAGTATCAAGGACACTGCACCACGCGTTGAAAGACCTGCTCCGCTTGCTGCGTCCCTTGCTGGCGACGAAGGCGATGCTGACTTGGCTGTAGTTGCATCGCATTCATCCTTGGGAAATGCAGATATGCCAGGACATGTTGAAGGCCAGCATATGGTGGCAATATGTAATTAAGGCCGGAGAGAATTCCAACAGCAGCGAGTCGATGTGTGAATTCAGCGCAATGCCGATATTGCATACCTCGTTACCCACCATTCGTTGGAGAAGTGGTCGGTGCAGGAAACAACTACTAACTTGTTGGACATCTTGAACGTGGGCAGGGCGAAAAACAGACAGAGTAGCACACGAGTCGCATCCATCAACAATAAGCTCCAAACATGGCACTCTAAAGCTGAACGTTTGCAAGCATATTTGGATACACCTACATTCAAGCGTGGGAAGGCAAGCTGGTATTTATCGGAGAGAGGCGGCTGAAATGCTCGCGGCACGTCGTTGCATTTCCACCTGTGGCTCGGGCGGCATGTGTGTAGTACTTGGCATCGACCTTTCGGGCCGATCTGTCAGCAATTGCGAGGCGAAGCTTCGCAACGCGCAGATGACGTCTTGCAGATGTTGGAAAAGAGATCGCCATCGACGCCAGAGGGAAGTGAACAGTGGTTTGAGTATCACCGTGCTTCGAACCAGACCAGACGCAACGAACGCTGGCATATGGCAGCGTCAAGCATTCACTGTAACAGAGCCGCTGACTGGATTCACGAGACGCCCTGTGCATTCCGACTCCAGCCCCGATCCCAAATTTCATGCATTGGTTCGCGAGAAACCAGTTCCCCACTGCAAGTGATGAGGAGGCGAGGAAACCATGACTGTTTGACTGCCAGCCAGGTTTGTTACACCACCGATGGGGGGTCAGATGTCGCTTTCGTTCGGCGGATGGCATTGCGACTTCATGCCGCAACCTCGACACCTGGATTCGCGATTCGGATTGCGCGGCGCATGCATTTCGATTGCTGACGAAAGGTCGACTCACCAGCATCGAGGATCTCCAACGGCCGCCGCCCTCCCCGCCTACCACAGTAGCCAAACGAGAGTTCAATTGAACGCGATGCTGTGGGAAGGAGTCAGGACACCGACTAATCGCTGCCAGCGTCGCAAGCCAGGGTGCCTCGAGCAATATTGTCAGATTTTGACGTCGTCATTGGGCGGCGAGCCCAGGGGCCGCTACTACTCCGCATTTGCTACCATACTGCAGTCATGGCGCGACAGCGCCGCCGATATCTTTACTGCGTGGTCTGAAAAGTATGGCAGCCGCAGCGCAGTGGAATCGAAGGTCCATCTCGTCCCCCCTTGGCCCATTTCGGGCCGATGGTCACATGCAAACATGTTGCGAACGATGCCCGAAACAGAAAGATTTCAACATAATGACCACCGTGTACACAACATGTTACCACCCGAGGACATTGCAAAGGCGCAGTGGAGCGGCCGGCGCAAGGGGGCTCGCCGCCCCCCCAAAAAAACATTTTCCCAGATGGCCTCTTGGCCCGTCTTGGGGCCCTCTTGTGGCCGTCTTGGGGGCCTCTTGGGCCGTCATGGGGCCATCTTGGAGGCCTCGTGGGCGATGTTGGGGCGATCTTGACGCCCTGCTGGGCCGTCTTGAGCCGTCGGAATGCCGAAAAGAAGCGCATCCCAACATCCTTCAAAAACCTACGGGAAACATGCTTTTGGCATTTTTTTCGGGCCCTCCTGTAGGCCCTCTTGGAGGCCTCTTGGGTCGTGATGGGCCGTCTTGGAGGCTGCTTGGGCGAATTTGGAGGTATTTGGGACTCTCTTGGGCCGTCTTGGAGGCCGTCTTGGACCAGATTGGGCGAACTTGGAGACCATCTTGGAGGCCATCTTGGACTAACGTGGCCATCTCGGCGCCATCTTGAGTCGTCTTGGAGGATGTGTTTCCGGATTGAGCACCTTCCCGGGGCCCCGGCGGGACGCGCCGGAGCCCCAGGCAGAGTTTTTTCTGGAGAAACCAGAACCAAAACCGAGAGGATCTAGCACGCCAGGCACCCTTGTGATGAATCAACAGGGGGCGGCGGATCGAAGACGCCTACGGCGAATCACCGCCGCCCCCTGCCCTTGTGGAAGCGCCTATGTGGCTGACAGCTGGGCTAGAGCCTGGCCAAGCTAGCGGGCCAGTGGTTCCACGAGTCGGTGGGAGCCTTCGGGGAAGGCGTGGGGGAGCAAGAGGCTTGACAGCGCTCATGTGTCCGAGCGTTGTGGCAAGAGCTCTGCCAAGCTGTCGGACCATGTGTTCCCCCAGCCGTTGTGGAAACTCTTCGGGGAACACTTCTGGGAAGATGGCGGGGAGATCAGGAGGAGGAGGAGGAGGAGGAGGAGGAGGAGGAGGAGAAGGGAAAAGGAGGAGGAGGAGAAGGAGGAGGAATATAAGGAGGAGGAAATGAGGAAGAGGAGTCTTGGGAGTCTTGGAGGCCTCTTGGGCCGTCTTGGGGGCCTCTTGAAGCCGTGTCTTGGGCCTCTTGGGCGATCTTTGGGGGCACCTGGGCCGTCTCGGGCCGTCGGAAGGCAGAACAACAAGCAAATGCCACAATCCTTCAAAAACCCATGGGAAATCAATGATTTTGGCGTTTTCGGGCCTTCCTGGAGAGTTTCTTGGAGGTCTCCTGGGCCGTCTTAGGCCATCTTAGGGCCATGTTCGGCCGTCTTGGTGGGCTCCTGGTCCGTCTGTCGCCGTCGGAAGCCGTTTGGGGGGGCCTCTATGGGCCGACTTGGGGCCCTCCTGGAATGCTCCTGGGCCGTCTTGGAGGCCATATTGGGCGTCGTAAGGTTGTCTTGGGCCGTCTTTGTGCCCTCTTAGGGGCCGTCTTGGGGGCCTCTTGGGCCGTTCTGGGGCCATCTTGGACGCCTCTTGGGCGATCCTTAGGCGATCTTTGGGGGCTCTTGAGCCGTCTCGGGCCGTCGGAATGCCGAAAGGAAGCAAATGTCAAATTCTTTAAAACATTCAGTTGACTCAGTGTTTTTGGCTTTGGGGGGCCCTCCTGGAGGCCCTCTTGGAGGCCTCTTGGGCCAGTTTCGAGCCAACTTCGGCCATCGTGGTGGGCTCCTGGCCCGTTTGACGCCGTCGGAAGCCGTTTTGGCGGCCTCTCTGGGCCGACTTGGGGCCGTCTTGGGGTGCTCCAGGGCCGTCTTAGAGGCCATCTTGGGCGTCTTGGAAGCCTCTTGGTCGTCTTTGTGCCCTCTTGGGGCCGTCTTGGGGGCCGTCTTGGGGCCTCTTGGGCCGTCCTGAGGTCAATTTGGAGGCCTCTTGGGCGCTCTGCGGGCGATCTTGGGGGCCTCTTGGGCCGTCTTGGGTCGTCGGAAAGCTGTAAAGGAGCAAGTACGAACAACCTTCCAAAACCTCAGGATAATCAATGCTTTGAGCTTCTTCGGGCCCTCCTAGAGGACCTCTCGGATTCCTCTGAGGCCGTCTTGGAGGCCTCTTGGGCACCTCTTGGGCCGTCTTGGGCCGTCTTGGAGATTTCTCGGGCGGACTTGGAGGCATCTCCTGTTGTCTTGGGCGGACTTAGAGGCCATCTTGGAACATATTGGACGCCATCTTGGGCCGACGTGGCCATCTTGGCGCCGTCTTGAGCCGTCTTGGAGGAAACAATTGAGAATTGCGCTCCTTGAGAGCCTTTCCGGGTGGCCGGCGGAACGCGCCAGAGCCCCAGGGGGAACCGTTGGGATTCAGCACGCCAGGCACCTCTGTGATAAATCAACAGGGGGCGGCGGATCGAAGACGCCTACGGCGAATCACCGCCGCCCCCTGCCCTTGTGGAAGCGCCTATGTGGCCAAATGTTGAGGCCAGACCTGCCAAGCTATCGGACCATGTGTTCCCCGAAACGGTTTGGAAAGCCTTCGGGGAACACGTGGGCATTTTGCAGGTCATCTTGGCCGTCTGGAGGCCATTTTGACCCTTTCGGGCCTTCTTGGAGGATGTCTTGGAGGGCTCTTGGGCCGTCTTGGAGGCCATCTTGAGCGTCTTGGAGGCCTCTTGGGCCGTCTTGGGGGCCTCTTGGGGCCGTGTCTTGGGCGATCTTTGGGGGCACTTGGGCCGTCTCGGGCCGTCGGAAGGCAGATGCCACAATCCTTCAAAAACCAATGTGAAATCAATGATTGTGGCTCTTTCGGGCCTTCCTGGAGGCCCTCTTGGAGGCCTCTTGGGCCGTCTTGGGCCATCTCAGGGCCATGTTCGGCCGTCTTGGTGGGCTCCTGGTCCGTCTGTCGCCGTCGGAAGCCGTTTGGGGGGGCCTCTATGGGCCGACTTGGGGCCCTCTTGGAATGCTCCAGGGCCGTCTTGGAGGCCCATCTTGGGCGTCTTAAAGGCCTCCTGTTCCGTCTTGGGGGCCTCTTGGGGCCCTCTTGGGCCGATCTGGGGCCATCTTGGACGCCTCTTGGGCGATCTTTCGGCGATCCTCGGGGGCTCTTGGGCCGTGTCGGGCCGTCGGAAGGCCGAAAAGAAGCACATGTCAAACTCCTTCGAACACCTTAGGACAATCAAGGTTGTTGGCCTTGTCTGGCCTTCCTGGAGGCCCTCTTGGGGACCTCTTGGGCCGTCTTGGGCCATCTTAGGGCCAACTTCGGCCACCTTGGTGGGTTCCTGGCACGTCTGTCGCCGTCGGGAGCCGTCTTGGGGGCCTTTCTTGGCCGACTGGGGGCCCTCTTGGGGCGCTTCGGGGCCGTCTTGGAGGCCATCTTGGGCGTCTTGGAGGCCATCTTGGGCGTGTTAGAGGCCTCTTGGGCCGTCTTGGGGCCCTCTTGGGGCCGTCTTGGAAGCCAGTTGGGCCGTCATGGGGCCCTTTGGGGGGCCTCTTGGGCATTGGAGATCGTCGATCGGGTTGGCTTGTGCATTTTGTGGATCCGTAAACATTATGGATCATATTCAGTCCAGCGAGTCGGGAGTTCGCCCCCCCATGGAGTGGGCGAGTCGCGCCGCCGGCGCGGTGGGGGGCCCCGCTCATCTCGGCGCCGCCTGGTACGGGCAGCACTGCACCTGCCACGTGGACCTGGGCGAGGTCTGTTCGTCCGACAAGGACCTGATCAGGCTGCTCGAGGGGCAGCTCCAGCGGTGCGGACCGGCGAACCTCACGGTGCCGGCGCCGTGCCCTGTGCCGGAGTGCTCCGGCCACCCAGGGAGCGTGGTCTTCCTCGCCTCGCTCCTCGCCTTCTTCGCGGGAGCGGTCGTCTCGGCTGGGGGCATCTGGGCCTGGTCGCAGCGCCAGTCTCGACGAGCCTGGCAGGGGTCTCGCCCGTCGGTCGCCGAGCAGGTGGCGAAGCTAGAGCTTCAGAATGGCCGACTACCTGCGGCCGGGGCAGCGGGTGCTCGTCTTCTACGACCCGGACCCCAGCGAGCTGCTATGGCATGAGCGCCTCTTGTGCGCTCACGTGCGGGCGAACGACTGGATCGTGGCGACGCCCGACAGAGACATCTACCTCGAGGACTTGGAGGGTGGTATCGAGGGCATGGTTCCGCTTGGCCCGATGGGCGGCCTTCCTGTCGGGTGGTCGCGGGGGCCCACTTACTTGTTCCGCAACTCGGCGCAGGGCCCCCTCAGCAAGGCGGAGAGCGGCCGCTTGCAGGCGGAGGGCGAGGAGCTGGCCGTGGCCGAACGTGCTGGACTCGCTGCGGGTGCGCCGCCTCCGCTGCCCCCCCCGCTCGAGGCGCCGCCGGCGCTGGGCGCGGGGGGCGCCCCTGACCTGGGCGAAGGCGAGTGGCGCTTCATGGAGTCTCGCGGCGGGGCATGCCTGGGCGAGCGCGTGCCAGCTGGCCTCCTGGAGTCGGGCGTCTGCGTGGGGGACAGAGGGATTGTCAAGTCCGAGGGCGTCCCCGTCTCTTGCCGCTTCTTCAAGGCCGGCGAGCAGATGCCGACCCCTCGTGGCGACGGCGGGCCTGTCGATTCTCCAGGGGAGCTCAGGACCCTTCCCGTCAAGTACGAGACAGCCGAGTCCCGGCACCGCTCGTGCAAGGAGGCCGCGGCGCTGACGACGACGACGAACTTCGAGGATTGGCCGATCAGCGGTCCGAGGACGGCGGAGTGGCTTGCACGGGAGATCGCCCGCCAGGAGTTGACTCCCGTGAGACGTCACTACTGGTGGCGCCAGCTTCTCAGCCTCGGTCCCTCCGACTGGGGAGTGGGGGAGCACGAGGCGCTCAGCCGGCTCTTCGAGTACGCCCTGACGTACGACCAGCTGAACTTTGGAGAGCTCGCGTCGCTTGAGCTCGCGGGGCGCCGCTACCAGCTTCTGGAGGAGAAGTACGCGCGCATGCTGGTGGAGGCGACCGCTGGTGGCGACGGCGCTCACTTGGACAACGACCGCCTGTTCATGGGCGAGGAGCGTCGCCACGGCCGGGCGCTCGTCGCGCCCGCTCTGGAGTCGTGGGTATCCCAGAGGCTGGCCGAGGAGAGCGCGGTGCTGAAGGAGCGACGCAAGGCGATGGAGGAGCGTCAGCTGGCGCGCTCCACCGAGGTCGCTCCCGCGGGCGGCCGCGGCGCGGATGACGACAAGAACAGGCCCCCCAAGAGGCCGCCGAAGAAGGGCGGGCGGCCCGGGGGGAGGTGGCAATTGACCTGACTCAGGGCGGCGGGCCCCCCGACCGCCGCCCGTTTTTGCAGGGGAGGGCGGCTCGCATGTGGAGGATGGCGAGCGGCCTCGGTGATTCAGGTGAGGTCCATGAGTGGGCTCGCGACCTGCTGCCGCTGCCCACGGGACGCTGCCTCGCGGCTCTCCTGGAGGGCATGTCGCCGGCGGTGCTGGGGGCGTCGCGCTGCGCGGATCGGCGGCGGGCTCGTCGGCGGAACGCAGAGGCGTGGCTGCAGCAGGGCATCGCGACGCTCAACACTCTGGGAGGGCGTGGAGAGAGCTGGGACCCCAAAGTGCTGCCGGGCGCGATCCAGCGCCAGGCTTTGGCCTCCCTGGCCCGGGCCTACCACTCTGTTCCAGGTCCGCCTGCCGACCTCACCGCCTCGGGAGCGTGGAGTGCGCTCCGGGGTAGCGGCTCCGGCTATGCCTGTGGAGGCGTAGTCGCCGGAGAGTTTGCGACCTACCAGCGCGGCAGGCTTGCTCTGCCGGCGGTCGGCGCGGAGGCGATCGATCTCGTCGACTGCCTGCCCGACCACTACCAGAAGTTGCTGGAGGCTAGTGGCCGTGCCCTTCGGCTGCCAGCGGCGTGTGCGGAGGAGCGTGCAGCAGAGGCGAGCTCCTTGGCCCGGCCATGGACCCGATCCTGTCGCGGTCGCCGGGCAAGTTCGCCGAGTTTTTGACCAGTGCCTTTGACTCCGGAGTCGTGGAGCCCGCGACCGAGGTTCGCAGTTTTGTTGGAGTCTTTTTCGTTCGCAAGAAGGACGGCTCGCTGAGGGTCATCTTCGACCCTAGAATGACGAATGCACGATTTCTGCCACCTGATCGCGTGGCTTTGGCCTCGCCCGAGGCCCTCGGGGACCTGGAGCTCCCCGCGGGGCAGCAGCTGTGGGTGTCCGAGGGTGACGTCGAGAACTGCTACTACCAGTTCCTCCTGCCCGCCGACCTCCGGGCCGACTTTGTGCTGCCGGCCGTCCCGAAGCGGTTCCTGCCGGCCAGGCTGAGGGAGCGCTTTCCTCAGGATGCGCAGAGCGTGCACTTCCAGGTGCGCGTCGTGCCGATGGGCTGGAGCTGGGCCGTTGCGCTGGTGCAGGCCGCCAACGCGGAGCAGCTGAAGACCGGCCCTTGGGGCGCACGCCGCTGGCTGTGCAACCGCCGCTGCGCGCCGTCTGTCGCAGCGCGTGAGCCGGCCGCGCTCCTGTATATTGACAACTTCGCGGCGCTTGGCACCGACAAGGCGGCGGTCGCGCGGGACGGCGACGCGATGGAGGCGAGGCTGAGGGGCCTTGGTCTGTCGACTCACGCGGTGTCCGGGCCGCAGCTGGAGGTTGACCTGCTTGGGTTCCGCGTCGACGGGCGGAAGGGAGCCGTGCACATCGCGCCCCTGCGGTTCTGGCGGCTGGTCCTCGCCCTCGAGCACATTGCAGGGCACCCTATGCTGACCGGAGCGGAGCTGGAGCGGCTGGTGGGCCACGTGACGCACGTGCTGCTCCTGAGGCGTGAGCTGCTCAGCTTGCTGAACGCCTGCTACGTCTTCATTAGCAAGTGCTACGACAGGCGGGTGCGTTTGTGGCCATCTGTCCTCAAGGAGCTCGACTGGCTGCGCTCCCTGCTGCCGCTGGTCTGGGCCGACCTGCGCGGCGCCTGGGCGCCCACAGTGACGGCCGTGGACGCTTCGATGACCGGGTTCGGAGTGGTCGAGAGGACCGTCAGCCCGGACGTCGTCGGCTCCGTCGGGCGCGTGCGGGAGCGCTGGCGTTTCAAGGAGGAGGAGCTGGTGGCCGAGGGGTCCCGGGCTCGCGCCTTGAGAGAAGGTGCGCCTGTTGACTCGTCCTTCCCTGACGTGCCTGCCAGCCTCTGCAAGTCGACGGACTGGAGGACGGTAGCATCGCGGAGGTGGCGTCGGAGAGCACCAATACACCTTCTGGAGGGTGAGGCGCTGCTGTGGGCAATGAGAAGGCAGGTACGGCGGGTGGCACTCCACGGCCGTCGGCTCCTGTTTCTGTCCGACAGCATGTGTTTCAGCTGTGCTGTTGCAAAAGGGCGGGCATCTGACTTCCATGTTCTCTCTCAGCTTCGTCACCTCGCTGCTCTCCAGCTCGCATCGTCTTGTCGCGTGGCAGTGAGATGGATCCCCTCCGAGTGGAACCCTGCCGACGAGCCGTCCAGGCGGTTCGAGCCCCCGCGGCCAGGTCGCGCGCCACGTAGGCCCGCCGCCTCTGAGCCGCGGCCGCCCGTCGCGGCGGGGCCGAGCGCCCTTTCGGGCGGCCCTGGCGACGCTCCTGGCAGCCCCTCCTCGGCGGCAGGGTCTCGACGGGGCGCCCCGGGCGAGTCCTCAGCGGATGGAGACGCCTTGGCTGCTGACTCCCGGGCGGTCCCCGCCAGCGACCCCGTCCCCGACCGCGCCTCGGCGGCAGGTGGGGGAGACGCGAGGGCGGAGCCGGAGCCCGAGGCGGTGTCCCCCGGCCGCGGCAGGCGAGCTGCCTCGCCAGCGGTCCCTCGGGCGCGGCCGCGGTCAGGCGAGGCGGCGCGGGCGCCCGCAGGCCGGTGCCGCGCGTCGCACGGCGCTGCCCTGGCACCGCCTCCTGGGCTCGAGTGTTTCGGGCCTCGAGCTGGAGTCGGTGAGGCCCTCGACCCAGCAGACCTACCTCCGATTCTTGCATGGCCTGTGCACCTGGCTGGGCCTGGCGCGTCTGCCGACCTGGAGTGCGCCGGAGTGGGGCGATGCGCTGCTGCAGTACCTGCACGACGAGTTCGAAGCGGGTGCGAGGCCGCACGGAGCTGCCAAGTTGCTGTCGGCCCTCCTGTGGGCCCGGCCCGGGCTGGGGCGGCCGCTACGAGTGGTCCTTCCCAGGTGCAGCCGGGCTCTGCTGGGCTGGAAGCGACGGCAGCCCGGCCAGTCCCGTCCTCCTCTGCCGTGGATAGTGCTGTGTGGAGTGCTGGAGATCCTCCTCATGCGCGGGCTTCGGTTCATGGCGTGCGCGCTGGCCCTGATGTTCCACTGCTACCTTCGACCAGGAGAGCTGCTGGCGCTGCGGGGCTTCCAGCTGGTGCCCCCGGCGCCGGGTCTCAGCGGAGGCTTCCGCTGGTGGACGCTGCTGCTGCACCCAGAGGAGCTTCAGATCCCGAGCAAGACGGGGGAGCTGGACGACTCCCTGCCGCTGGACGTGCCAGAGCTGCAGTGGCTCACGCCGCTCCTTCTCGAGCTGCGTGCGACGGTCAAGCCCCTCGAGCCGCTCTGGAGTTTCGACTACGTGCAGCTGCGCGCCGAGTTCGAGGGCGCGCTAGCGGCGCTCGGGCTCCTCCACCTGGGGGCGACGCTGTACAGCCTCCGGCACGGAGGCGCGAGCCACGACAGGATCGTCGACCGGCGGTCCTTGGAGGAGGTCGCCAAGCGCGGCCGGTGGCGCGCGCGCCTGTCGGTGAGGCGGTACGAGAAGCACGGCCGGCTGGCGCTGCAGGTCGCGCGGGTGCCCGCCGCTGTCCAGCGGCACCTGCGCCTCAGCGAGCAGAGGTTGGCCGACCTGTTCGCGAACGCCTCTGCGCTGCGCTCGGCCGGGTCAGGCTTGGGCGCGAGAGGGTCGCGGTGGAAGTCTTCTCAGGCTCCGGGCGGCTTGCCGCCGCGCTCCGAGCCCGCGGCCTCACCGTCCTGGAGTGGGACATCGTTCGAAGTCCCATGTTTGACCTCACCAACCGCGCGGCCGTCGAGACTCTGAAGGGCTGGATTCTCAGTGGTGAGGTTCTGGTCTTGTGGCTTGGCACTCCGTGCACGTCTTTTTCACTTGCCAGGCGCCTCACTAAGACAGGCCCCGGGCCTTTGCGTTCAAAAGAGTTCCCCCTCGGCCTTCCTAACTTGTCTGAACCCGATCAGGCCAAGGTCCGAATTGGTAATATGCTAATGCGCGTGTCTGTCGTCCTCGCTAGGCTCGCTCACCAGAAAGGGATCCCTGGTGGCCTGGAAAATCCAGGGTTTTCTCGTCTGTGGGAGTGCCCTCCCGTGCAGAGCCTTCTCAGGCTTAAAGGCGTTCATGATGTTTTTACCGATTTCTGTATGTGGGGCGAGCCGTGGCGGAAGCGAACTAGATTGCGTCTCTGGCACGTCTCAGGGCACTCGCTTGGCAAGAGGTGCCAAGGTCGCGGCGTCTGTGAGCGTACCCAGTGCAGGCACCAGGTCCTGGAGGGAAAAGAGTAAGAAGTGCCTAATTTCCAGGACTTCGAATGAATCGGGTTCTAAAGCTGCGCAAGGCAGGCCTTTGGGTTTATTGTTGTCTTATCTTGATTTCCATGATCCATCAATGGAGTCGGCTAATCATAAGAGGAACTACCCTAAAGATAAAGACAGCAGGGAACGAGCGAGAGATCGACACAAACATCGCCCTGATGCTAAAACAATCTTCCAGTGCGAGAGAAAAAAAGGCCAGGTGAGCCAGACGAGCCGCCTGGTGAACCTTGAATCGCTTGTCAAGGAGCTCGACTGGCTGCGCTCCCTGCTGCCGCTGGTCTGGGCCGACCTGCGCGGCGCCTGGGCGCCCACAGTGACGGCCGTGGACGCTTCGATGACCGGGTTCGGAGTGGTCGAGAGGACCGTCAGCCCGGACGTCGTCGGCTCCGTCGGGCGCGTGCGGGAGCGCTGGCGTTTCAAGGAGGAGGAGCTGGTGGCCGAGGGGTCCCGGGCTCGCGCCTTGAGAGAAGGTGCGCCTGTTGACTCGTCCTTCCCTGACGTGCCTGCCAGCCTCTGCAAGTCGACGGACTGGAGGACGGTAGCATCGCGGAGGTGGCGTCGGAGAGCACCAATACACCTTCTGGAGGGTGAGGCGCTGCTGTGGGCAATGAGAAGGCAGGTACGGCGGGTGGCACTCCACGGCCGTCGGCTCCTGTTTCTGTCCGACAGCATGTGTTTCAGCTGTGCTGTTGCAAAAGGGCGGGCGTCTGACTTCCATGTTCTCTCTCAGCTTCGTCACCTCGCTGCTCTCCAGCTCGCATCGTCTTGTCGCGTGGCAGTGAGATGGATCCCCTCCGAGTGGAACCCTGCCGACGAGCCGTCCAGGCGGTTCGAGCCCCCGCGGCCAGGTCGCGCGCCACGTAGGCCCGCCGCCTCTGAGCCGCGGCCGCCCGCCGCGGCGGGGCCGAGCGCCCTTTCGGGCGGCCCTGGCGACGCTCCTGGCAGCCCCTCCTCGGCGGCAGGGTCTCGACGGGGCGTCCCGGGCGAGTCCTCAGCGGATGGAGACGCCTTGGCTGCTGACTCCCGGGCGGTCCCCGCCAGCGACCCCGCCCCCGACCGCGCCTCGGCGGCAGGTGGGGGAGACGCGAGGGCGGAGCCGGAGCCCGAGGCGGTGTCCCCCGGCCGCGGCAGGCGAGCTGCCTCGCCAGCGGTCCCTCGGGCGCGGCCGCGGTCAGGCGAGGCGGCGCGGGCGCCCGCAGGCCGGTGCCGCGCGTCGCACGGCGCTGCCCTGGCACCGCCTCCTGGGCTCGAGTGTTTCGGGCCTCGAGCTGGAGTCGGTGAGGCCCTCGACCCAGCAGACCTCGCTCCCCCTCGACCCAGCAGACCAAGTCCAGCGAGTCGGGAGTTCGCCCCCCCATGGAGTGGGCGAGTCGCGCCGCCGGCGCGGTGGGGGGCCTCGCTCATCTCGGCGCCGCCTGGTACGGGCAGCACTGCACCTGCCACGTGGACCTGGGCGAGGTCTGTTCGTCCGACAAGGACCTGATCAGGCTGCTCGAGGGGCAGCTCCAGCGGTGCGGACCGGCGAACCTCACGGTGCCGGCGCCGTGCCCTGTGCCGGAGTGCTCCGGCCACCCAGGGAGCGTGGTCTTCCTCGCCTCGCTCCTCGCCTTCTTCGCGGGAGCGGTCGTCTCGGCTGGGGGCATCTGGGCCTGGTCGCAGCGCCAGTCTCGACGAGCCTGGCAGGGGTCTCGCCCGTCGGTCGCCGAGCAGGTGGCGAAGCTAGAGCTTCAGAATGGCCGACTACCTGCGGCCGGGGCAGCGGGTGCTCGTCTTCTACGACCCGGACCCCAGCGAGCTGCTATGGCATGAGCGCCTCTTGTGCGCTCACGTGCGGGCGAACGACTGGATCGTGGCGACGCCCGACAGAGACATCTACCTCGAGGACTTGGAGGGTGGTATCGAGGGCATGGTTCCGCTTGGCCCGATGGGCGGCCTTCCTGTCGGGTGGTCGCGGGGGCCCACTTACTTGTTCCGCAACTCGGCGCAGGGCCCCCTCAGCAAGGCGGAGAGCGGCCGCTTGCAGGCGGAGGGCGAGGAGCTGGCCGTGGCCGAACGTGCTGGACTCGCTGCGGGTGCGCCGCCTCCGCTGCCCCCCCCGCTCGAGGCGCCGCCGGCGCTGGGCGCGGGGGGCGCCCCTGACCTGGGCGAAGGCGAGTGGCGCTTCATGGAGTCTCGCGGCGGGGCATGCCTGGGCGAGCGCGTGCCAGCTGGCCTCCTGGAGTCGGGCGTCTGCGTGGGGGACAGAGGGATTGTCAAGTCCGAGGGCGTCCCCGTCTCTTGCCGCTTCTTCAAGGCCGGCGAGCAGATGCCGACCCCTCGTGGCGACGGCGGGCCTGTCGATTCTCCAGGGGAGCTCAGGACCCTTCCCGTCAAGTACGAGACAGCCGAGTCCCGGCACCGCTCGTACAAGGAGGCCGCGGCGCTGACGACGACGACGAACTTCGAGGATTGGCCGATCAGCGGTCCGAGGACGGCGGAGTGGCTTGCACGGGAGATCGCCCGCCAGGAGTTGACTCCCGTGAGACGTCACTACTGGTGGCGCCAGCTTCTCAGCCTCGGTCCCTCCGACTGGGGAGTGGGGGAGCACGAGGCGCTCAGCCGGCTCTTCGAGTACGCCCTGACGTACGACCAGCTGAACTTTGGAGAGCTCGCGTCGCTTGAGCTCGCGGGGCGCCGCTACCAGCTTCTGGAGGAGAAGTACGCGCGCATGCTGGTGGAGGCGACCGCTGGCGGCGACGGCGCTCACTTGGACAACGACCGCCTGTTCATGGGCGAGGAGCGTCGCCACGGCCGGGCGCTCGTCGCGCCCGCTCTGGAGTCGCGGGTATCCCAGAGGCTGGCCGAGGAGAGCGCGGTGCTGAAGGAGCGACGCAAGGCGATGGAGGAGCGTCAGCTGGCGCGCTCCACCGAGGTCGCTCCCGCGGGCGGCCGCGGCGCGGATGACGACAAGAACAGGCCCCCCAAGAGGCCGCCGAAGAAGGGCGGCCCGGGGGGAGGTGGCAATTGACCTGACTCAGGGCGGCGGGCCCCCCGACCGCCGCCCGTTTTTGCAGGGGAGGGCGGCTCGCATGTGGAGGATGGCGAGCGGCCTCGGTGATTCAGGTGAGGTCCATGAGTGGGCTCGCGACCTGCTGCCGCTGCCCACGGGACGCTGCCTCGCGGCTCTCCTGGAGGGCATGTCGCCGGCGGTGCTGGGGGCGTCGCGCTGCGCGGATCGGCGGCGGGCTCGTCGGCGGAACGCAGAGGCGTGGCTGCAGCAGGGCATCGCGACGCTCAACGCTCTGGGAGGGCGTGGAGAGAGCTGGGACCCCAAAGTGCTGCCGGGCGCGATCCAGCGCCAGGCTTTGGCCTCCCTGGCCCGGGCCTACCACTCTGTTCCAGGTCCGCCTGCCGACCTCACCGCCTCGGGAGCGTGGAGTGCGCTCCGGGGTAGCGGCTCCGGCTATGCCTGTGGAGGCGTAGTCGCCGGAGAGTTTGCGACTTACCAGCGCGGCAGGCTTGCTCTGCCGGCGGTCGGCGCGGAGGCGATCGATCTCGTCGACTGCCTGCCCGACCACTACCAGAAGTTGCTGGAGGCTAGTGGCCGTGCCCTTCGGCTGCCAGCGGCGTGCGCGGAGGAAGGTGCAGCAGAGGCGAGCTCCTTTGGCCCGGCCATGGACCCGATCCTGTCGCGGTCGCCGGGCAAGTTCGCCGAGTTTTTGACCAGTGCCTTTGACTCCGGAGTCGTGGAGCCCGCGACCGAGGTTCGCAGTTTTGTTGGAGTCTTTTTCGTTCGCAAGAAGGACGGCTCGCTGAGGGTCATCTTCGACCCTAGAATGACGAATGCACGATTTCTGCCACCTGATCGCGTGGCTTTGGCCTCGCCCGAGGCCCTCGGGGACCTGGAGCTCCCCGCGGGGCAGCAGCTGTGGGTGTCCGAGGGTGACGTCGAGAACTGCTACTACCAGTTCCTCCTGCCCGCCGACCTCCGGGCCGACTTTGTGCTGCCAACCGTCCCGAAGCGGTTCCTGCCGGCCAGGCTGAGGGAGCGCTTTCCTCAGGATGCGCAGAGCGTGCACTTCCAGGTGCGCGTCGTGCCGATGGGCTGGAGCTGGGCCGTTGCGCTGGTGCAGGCCGCCAACGCGGAGCAGCTGAAGACCGGCCCTTGGGGCGCACGCCGCTGGCTGTGCAACCGCCGCTGCGCGCCGTCTGTCGCAGCGCGTGAGCCGGCCGCGCTCCTGTATATTGACAACTTCGCGGCGCTTGGCACCGACAAGGCGGCGGTCGCGCGGGACGGCGACGCGATGGAGGCGAGGCTGAGGGGCCTTGGTCTGTCGACTCACGCGGTGTCCGGGCCGCAGCTGGAGGTTGACCTGCTTGGGTTCCGCGTCGACGGGCGGAAGGGAGCCGTGCACATCGCGCCCCTGCGGTTCTGGCGGCTGGTCCTCGCCCTCGAGCACATTGCAGGGCACCCTATGCTGACCGGAGCGGAGCTGGAGCGGCTGGTGGGCCACGTGACGCACGTGCTGCTCCTGAGGCGTGAGCTGCTCAGCTTGCTGAACGCCTGCTACGTCTTCATTAGCAAGTGCTACGACAGGCGGGTGCGTTTGTGGCCATCTGTCCTCAAGGAGCTCGACTGGCTGCGCTCCCTGCTGCCGCTGGTCTGGGCCGACCTGCGCGGCGCCTGGGCGCCCACAGTGACGGCCGTGGACGCTTCGATGACCGGGTTCGGAGTGGTCGAGAGGACCGTCAGCCCGGACGTCGTCGGCTCCGTCGGGCGCGTGCGGGAGCGCTGGCGTTTCAAGGAGGAGGAGCTGGTGGCCGAGGGGTCCCGGGCTCGCGCCTTGAGAGAAGGTGCGCCTGTTGACTCGTCCTTCCCTGACGTGCCTGCCAGCCTCTGCAAGTCGACGGACTGGAGGACGGTAGCATCGCGGAGGTGGCGTCGGAGAGCACCAATACACCTTCTGGAGGGTGAGGCGCTGCTGTGGGCAATGAGAAGGCAGGTACGGCGGGTGGCACTCCACGGCCGTCGGCTCCTGTTTCTGTCCGACAGCATGTGTTTCAGCTGTGCTGTTGCAAAAGGGCGGGCATCTGACTTCCATGTTCTCTCTCAGCTTCGTCACCTCGCTGCTCTCCAGCTCGCATCGTCTTGTCGCGTGGCAGTGAGATGGATCCCCTCCGAGTGGAACCCTGCCGACGAGCCGTCCAGGCGGTTCGAGCCCCCGCGGCCAGTTCGCGCGCCACGTAGGCCCGCCGCCTCTGAGCCGCGGCCGCCCGCCGCGGCGGGGCCGAGCGCCCTTTCGGGCGGCCCTGGCGACGCTCCTGGCAGCCCCTCCTCGGCGGCAGGGTCTCGACGGGGCGCCCCGGGCGAGTCCTCAGCGGATGGAGACGCCTTGGCTGCTGACTCCCGGGCGGTCCCCGCCAGCGACCCCGTCCCCGACCGCGCCTCGGCGGCAGGTGGGGGAGACGCGAGGGCGGAGCCGGAGCCCGAGGCGGTGTCCCCCGGCCGCGGCAGGCGAGCTGCCTCGCCAGCGGTCCCTCGGGCGCGGCCGCGGTCAGGCGAGGCGGCGCGGGCGCCCGCAGGCCGGTGCCGCGCGTCGCACGGCGCTGCCCTGGCACCGCCTCCTGGGCTCGAGTGTTTCGGGCCTCGAGCTGGAGTCGGTGAGGCCCTCGACCCAGCAGACCTACCTCCGATTCCTGCATGGCCTGTGCACCTGGCTGGGCCTGGCGCGTCTGCCGACCTGGAGTGCGCCGGAGTGGGACGATGCGCTGCTGCAGTACCTGCACGACGAGTTCGAAGCGGGTGCGAGGCCGCACGGAGCTGCCAAGTTGCTGTCGGCCCTCCTGTGGGCCCGGCCCGGGCTGGGGCGGCCGCTACGAGTGGTCCTTCCCAGGTGCAGCCGGGCTCTGCTGGGCTGGAAGCGACGGCAGCCCGGCCAGTCCCGTCCTCCTCTGCCGTGGATAGTGCTGTGTGGAGTGCTGGAGATCCTCCTCATGCGCGGGCTTCGGTTCATGGCGTGCGCGCTGGCCCTGATGTTCCACTGCTACCTTCGACCAGGAGAGCTGCTGGCGCTGCGGGGCTTCCAGCTGGTGCCCCTGGCGCCGGGTCTCAGCGGAGGCTTCCGCTGGTGGACGCTGCTGCTGCACCCAGAGGAGCTTCAGATCCCGAGCAAGACGGGGGAGCTGGACGACTCCCTGCCGCTAAACGTGCCAGAGCTGCAGTGGCTCACGCCGCTCCTTCTCGAGCTGCGTGCGACGGTCAAGCCCCTCGAGCCGCTCTGGAGTTTCGACTACGTGCAGCTGCGCGCCGAGTTCGAGGGCGCGCTAGCGGCGCTCGGGCTCCTCCACCTGGGGGCGACGCTGTACAGCCTCCGGCACGGAGGCGCGAGCCACGACAGGATCGTCGACCGGCGGTCCTTGGAGGAGGTCGCCAAGCGCGGCCGGTGGCGCGCGCGCCTGTCGGTGAGGCGGTACGAGAAGCACGGCCGGCTGGCGCTGCAGGTCGCGCGGGTGCCCGCCGCTGTCCAGCGGCACCTGCGCCTCAGCGAGCAGAGGTTGGCCGACCTGTTCGCGAACGCCTCTGCGCTGCGCTCGGCCGGGTCAGGCTTGGGCGCGAGAGGGTCGCGGTGGAGGTCTTCTCAGGCTCCGGGCGGCTTGCCGCCGCGCTCCGAGCCCGCGGCCTCACCGTCCTGGAGTGGGACATCGTTCGAAGTCCCATGTTTGACCTCACCAACCGCGCGGCCGTCGAGACTCTGAAGGGCTGGATTCTCAGTGGTGAGGTTCTGGTCTTGTGGCTTGGCACTCCGTGCACGTCTTTTTCACTTGCCAGGCGCCTCACTAAGACAGGCCCCGGGCCTTTGCGTTCAAAAGAGTTCCCCCTCGGCCTTCCTAACTTGTCTGAACCCGATCAGGCCAAGGTCCGAATTGGTAATATGCTAATGCGCGTGTCTGTCGTCCTCGCTAGGCTCGCTCACCAGAAAGGGATCCCTGGTGGCCTGGAAAATCCAGGGTTTTCTCGTCTGTGGGAGTGCAGGCCTCTTGGGCGATCTTTCGGCGATCTTTGGGGGCTCGTGGGCCGTCTCGGGCCGTCGGAAGGCCGAAACAAAATGAATGTCAAACTCCTTCGAACACCTTAGGACAATCAAGGTTGTTGGCCTTGTCTGGCCTTCCTGGAGGCCCTCTTGGGGACCTCTTGGGCCGTCTTGGGCCAGCTTCGAGCCAACTTCGGCCACCTTGGTGGGTTCCTGGCACGTCTGACGCCGTCGGGAGCCGTCTTGGGAGGCCTTTCTGGGCCGACTGGGGGCCGTCTTTGAGGCCATCTTAGGCGTCTTGGAGGCCATCTTGGGAGTGTTGGAGGCCTCTTGGGCCCTCTTGTGGCCGTCTTGGGGCCGTCTTGGAGGCCACTTGGGCCGTCATGGAGCCCTCTTGGGGGCCTCTTGGGCGGTCTTGGGGGCTTCTTGGGCCGTCTTGAGCCGTCGGAATGCCGAGAAGAAGCACATTCCAAAATCCTTCAACAACCTGAGGACACCCACTGATTTTGGCTTCTTCGGGCCTTCCTGGGGGACCTCTTGAAGGCCTCTTGGGCCGTCTTGGAGGCCTCTGGGGGGCCTCTTGGGCAGTCTTGGGCCGTCTTGGACTCTCTTGGGCCGTCTTGGAGGCCGTCTTGGACCATCTTGGGCGGACTTGGAGGCCATCTTGAGGATGTCCCGGGCGAAACGGCCGTTGTTGCGAGGATTTTTTGTGGACGTTGCGGTCGACGGCGGGACGGGCCGAAACGCCAGGGGAAGTTCTTTTGGAAAAAAAACAAAACCAAAACCGATAGGGTCTAGCACGCCAGGCACCCCTGCGATGAATCGACAGGGGGCGGCGGATCTAAGACGCCTACGGCGAATCACCGCCGCCCCCTGCCTTCTTTGTAAGCGCATATGTGGCCGAACGTTGAGGCCAGACATGCCAAGCCATCGGACCATGTGTTCCCCGAATCGGTTTGGAAAGTCTTCGGGGAACACGTGAGCATCTTGAAGGTCA